AAAGACTTAAAGATGAGAACTCAAACCGACAGTTTTTTCCAGTCATTATTTCGGTAATTGATTTAGTTACATACTCCGTATCTATCGGGTTGGACATCTCAAATCTATATTTCTTTATTTTTTCATTAAGAACTTTGCGAAATGATTGGCAATATCTTTAGGTTTTGTGTAAATTTCACCATTACTCTCTGCATAAGTTGGTATTGGACAATTTGAGCGTCCTAACAGATTGTTTATTGTTTTCCACATTGACTTTGGATCTTTTTTGGTATTATTAATAACTTCAAGAAAATATGCTCTTTTGCTTTCTCTGTTGACCTTAACGACATGGTTTCTCAATTTCCTATAAACCGCCCAGTCAGAAGGAAAACCAGAAACCTTCGCCTCACGTTTTGCTGCATCTCTCATCAACATTAAGTCGCGAATATTTTGAGTTATCCAAGGAGCGGGTTTTGATTTAACTGTATATTTCCTAATAGGGGCATGAATGTCCGCAATATCTCTGAACAGATTAAGAACAATGCTAAACAATATTGTTAACAACCAGGAACAATATGGGCAGCAAAATATTGTTCCGGCCTGTTTTCATCAACATTGTTACAGGCTAGGCGTTTTTTGCAGTGTACATATATACAGTACAGTGTGTCCCAAGAAAAAGTATCCTCTATAGAAATTTATTCTATTGTTGTTAAGCACAGGATTTTATGCGACTGGTGATTAAAAATTCAATTCAATTGTGTTTATGCACTCTTGTGTTCAGCATAGTGCTCAGGCATTCAAATTATATCAATATTAGCTGTAAGCGAATATACTAACTAAGATTAAATAACCAGTGGAAAGAGGAGATAAATGTGTACAATATATGATAGTTTTAAAAAATCCTATACTAGAATAGAAGCTGAGAAATTGATAATTTAAAATTCTTGGATTTAAAATTAATATTTTTTGGCACTGTGGTTTTATAATAGCTGTTAGGAAAATATCGTTTTGGACTGCTTTTACATAAAAATGAGCACTTACAATTTATATATAAATATCCTTCAAATTTGAATCCCAAAATGAAGATCGGTGGAGAAACTTCGCAAAAAATATTTATTTTTCTACTTTCGAACGGCGTTTTTCCTATGCTTTTGACTGAAAACACGACGAACGACACTTGCCAGAGCAATTTTCGTGGCGCGTGGAAATGAAATTGAGGTTATCGAGTGCGAGTTCCCTATCTGTATATCTCTTATCTGTGGTGGCCACTGATCTAAAATAAGACTGGATAAAGCATCTGCTATGCATAAGTGAAGCCAATAGTGGCCATATTGGATGGCCCCACCATTAATCTTATCTGGTGTTGTGGGCATATTTAACTCTTCCTGTATGTTTCTGATCACTGGTGGGAAAGGACAAATATTGCATAGATGAAAATTTATCATCAGTAGCCTCTCTTTTCCCCCTCTCCATCAAATATGGCCACCATAAGCCTCATTAATATGTGGTGTATAAAACGTTCTAAAACTACTTCGAAGAGGTTTTGGGAACTATATTTCACAAGTCACATAGGCGAAGATATTTGCTTTATAGTCTAACTGAACTTAAACAGCAAACGATTAGACTGGTCATGAATTTGACTGATTTATAAATCTCATCTCATTAAAATATTCTGGCTTCAAAATCGGGTTACTGAATTGAATAGGATGCTTTATCCAGCTCAACGGATTGGGCCGACTGTGTGTCAACGTCATTTTAATCACAGAATAGAAAACTACCAGAAGCCTAACTGTACACCTTTCCCTAACATTTTCGTGTCCGCGATTTTCGCCTTGCGGATCACGCTAGATGACGTGAGTGACACTTGCTCAGCTTGCTGCAAACATTAGCCTCCTCCGCAGGCAACTCTGTGGGGGCCTATAATAGGTAAAAACTTACCAAAAGTACTCTTTATTAACTTCATATTCAATGAAATTGCATTGCAAACCACTTGAAAACGCGAAGAAATTTGATAACGAGTTATTTTGACCGCGCACAACAAAAAAGTGTCCTGGAGAATAGCCCTTCTAATACCCCGTTTTCCCCTCATTCTCGTCTCCAGGACACTGTTTTGTTGACCGCGATCAAAGTAATTCATATAACCAGTATACGAGTTTGCAATGCAAATTTATTGAATATAAAGTTAATAAAGAGTACTTTTGGTAAGTTTTTACCTATTATAGGCCCCCACAGAGTTGCCTGCGGAGGAGGCTATGCAAACATCACGTCAGCGTTCGACAGCGTCAATGGGCCACTTGCCTTATAGCGATGCCCGCTATGCATGATGGTAGGTGTCGTCGCTTTGCAATTGAACGACATGGCGTCTGTAGGAGCGAGTGATTTTGTTTTGAAGATGAAATGGCGGATTTTAACCACTTTTTGCATCCTTCGATAAATTTTACCCCCAGCAAATAACAAGGGAGCTCTGACCTTTTTCTATATTTTCTATTCTGTGCTTTAATCGGAAACGGTCCAAGCCTGAAGAAGGTAAGGGACATTTTCAATACTATTAATTCCAAGTTACGAATATCTTATATGACAGACCAATTCATTTTGCAGCTTAACTTATAGAATGTTAAAATGTTTTTAAAATGTTTAATGTTAAAATATTTGGCAAAACCTGAAATCGGCCCGATTAATCGTTGTGTGTCAACGTAGCAGGGTTGCCAGATTACTGAATAAATAAGCCAAACTTTGTTGTAAGCGTCCCTTTGATTTCTTTGTTTCCAACAAAGAAACAAAAGTTTTGTTTTCTTTGTTAGAAACAAAGAAATCAAAGGGACGCTTACAACAATGTTTGGCTTATTTATTCAGCAATCTGGCAACCCTGAAACGTAGCTTTATTCGATGCCGAAGCGTTCTGTTTCTGTCACAAGAGAGGTTTGCTACAAAATTGTTTCATGTTTTAATGAGAAGGTGAGTTGTACTGCAGTTAAATTGGCATATAAACTTTACTTTATGAACTACTAGTTAGAAGTGTAGATATTTTATACGGAAGTATATCTAACATACAATATATCAACATGATGTAAAAATGCCCATATTTGATTGCGCATACACGTAATACGTTTGTATAATTTGCGAACATTTCTGGTTGAAGTTGTACTGTTGGTATATTTAATGATCTTGTTTAATTCCTACCAGAGGACCTTGTGCTGCATTTTTCGCAGTCGTTCCTGGTCAGGTCTTAAAAGTGTATATATACTCACTTGGATTACTAACCCTAAAAACAGCATTCTAATATTAATTCCACCAAGTGAAGTGCAAGTAACAAGATCATTGAACTCCACCTTATCACAACCCGCACACCCAATCACCTATATATACATGAACTTACGGTTACAGCTCAACAGCGCTGGCTTCTGTAGCTCAGTTGGTTAGAGCGCTGCACCGGAATCGCAGGGCCGTAGGTTCAATATTAATCCTACCAGAGGACCTTGTGCTGCATTTTTGTCTGTCGTTCCTGGTCAGGTCTTAAAGTGTATATATACTCACTTGGATTACTAACCCTAAAAACAGCATTCTACTGTTGGTATATGTAATTCTTACGGGAAAATACGACATAAAATCAATACAAAGTACGAAACAATAGCTACAGGAAGACATTTTCAGTAAATTAGGAAAACCGAACATGCATGGCGAAATATATTTAAGATTTGAAGGAACCGAATGTTTTAGGGAGGGTGAAATAATATTATGCGTTTCTGCCAAAAAGAGAGGTTACATTTTCATGTCACGCAGCACGAAATATAAGTGGTTAGGAGGTTAGGGTTAGGGATTGGATTAGGTTTCGTGATTGCGTGCCATGAAAGATAACCCGAAAAGACGTCTTTTACTTTTAAAACCCCCTCCCACTCACTAAGAATTTTTAGATCAGTGCTGAGTGCTCCCACACATAAACAAAGTATTTAGACATTAAGTTCTTTGAATGTTTGCATGGCGATAAAATATAATTTACGTGGTGTTTCCACAAACACAAACAATTATATTTAGACATTCGCGTCCAAAATTTGATACCTTTTACACTGAGATCGATTCAAAATCTAAATTTACACTGAAATCGATTTATACATTTACTACACTGTTGTCTGTTGATGAAAGGGTCTCAGTTTAGTAGACCTCTAGCCCTATTTTATTATTGCAAACATTTAGTGTCAATGTTGCAGATTATAATGATGCTATTAATTAAATTGTGTTTTTAGCTGTAGTTACAATGGCTGAATCACTTCGATATAAAGTTGAGGAACATTTGACTTGCTCTGTTTGTTTGGAACCATTTAAAGATCCCAAAGTTTTACCTTGTCTTCATTCATATTGTCATGTATGCATTGTAAAACTGGCCAAGAATGCAAAGTCCAATACTATCAACTGTCCTGAGTGTCGATTGGCAGTAGAGGTGAGAAAATATACTTAATTGTTAACTCTGTCTAAGCCCAGATGATTTTACTCGTCAAGGAAGAGTGCTGGTGATCATGTTGGGTTAATATGTAAAACTTTAAGTAAACTGAAATTTTTTATGCTTGTATTAACCACAGGCGGGCGTGGGCAAATAGAGCCTGGGTCCCTGTGTTTATATAAGTACAGATTTCTGGGGTCAGAGAAAATAATTTCTTTCTGGGAGCACAATCTGAAGATAGCCTGACAAGTTAAATGCACGTGAGGTGCCTGGATTTATATCAATTTTGTTTACAAAACAAACAAATCTTACATGGACCTCAGAGAACTAAAAATGATATTTTTATACTGTTAATCCTTCATGAAGTCCCTCTCCAATTAACACCTTCTTTATATTTAAACCCATTAAGTTGCATTGTACATTTGTGCAGCTTACTTTATTATTTTACTCTGTCTAACACCAGACGATTTTACTCACCAAGGGGAGAGCACTAGCTAATGCTCAATGGGTTAATCTGCCCATGTGCATGGTAATGCTTCAAGTTGCATTGTGAACGCCCTAATATGTCCTACTTTCTTATTATAATGGCAGACGATTTTACTCGTTAATGGGAGAGCAGTGGCACTCAATGGGTTAATTCTTCCTCCCTTTGTACGAAATGAAATACGTGTGTTGTGATTGGATTTATTGATTTGTGGATTTATTAATTTTATTTATTTGATCTAATAACGTTATCCAATGCATAGGTCGACGAAAACACTGTTTCCACTCTGCCATCAAACTTTTTCGTCAACAATCTCCTAGCAACAATGACGCAGACAAGTGACACGCCCGCTGCGAAGATACGATGTCCCAAACACAAGGAAGAAGTCATCAAGTTGTTTTGTAAAACATGTCAAACAACCATCTGCAGAGATTGCACCATGGTTGATCATCAGGGGCATAACTATGGGTTTGTTGAAGAGGTCGCTGTCGAAGAAAAACGTCATTTGCAGAGCAATCTTAACGAAGTAAAGCGAAGAAAAGGAAGAGTTGCACAGGGAATTGTAAACCTGAAGAAATTTAATGAAGGTCTGGAGGCCAAGAATAAGTCAACAATCTCAAAAATCAGCCAGCACTTCGATCAACTTGTCAAAGCCGTGGAATCTCGGAAAAGAGAAATGATGGAAAAAGCGACTTCAATCACGAATTCCAAACAAAGACAGATTCATGCACAGTTAGAGGTCTTAGAAATGGCTTTAGCAAGTTGTGAAAGCAGCATCGAGTTTACAGAGCAAGTGTTCAAGAATGGCAACGACATTCAAATATTGAGCATGGAGAAGCACATTTTGCAGTCTTTGGAGCAGGTGAAAGCAGTTAAAGATCAAACGAAGCCTTGTGTTACTGAAGACATGGTGTTTGTCATACTTTCTTCGGCGCAGGAAAAAAAGAAAGAGTTGTTGATTGCGTATGACGTAGATGACGCTGTCGCAAACCCTGAAAGTTGCACGGCTTCCTTTCAAGAAACTGAAGCAATGTTCAATGCAGGGAAACAGTACTCCATAACATTAATCTGTCACGACAAAAATAACCGAAGATTAAGATACGGAGGTCAAGACATCAAACCGTCGTTCACTGGAATGGAGGTCAGTGATGTTGCCGTTACTGATAATAAAGATGGCTCCTACACTATCAGTTTTTCTCTTTGTCAGGGGGGCATGTTGCAGTTCGAGGTATCCATCAATGGAACGCCTGCTCCAAATTGTTCTTTGGCAAAACAAGTGAAGTGGGTTATAAGTGATGCTCATGGTAAAGGTGCTATCGCTAATGGTGGACGTACAGTGCATGGTGAGGGTCGCCAGGGCGAATATTGTTGGAGAGTTGGTGAATGTTATTTCGATTCTGGAGTTCACACATGGAAAGTTGAATTGTATAATCATCCCAGCCTACGTAAATGGAGTCAGCACAGTTGCTATAGTGATCCCACTGCTGAAGTTGGAATCATCGACTATGATGAAATTAATGCAGACATTGTTCGAAGCGAAAAGAAGTGGGTTTATAAACGTTCTGTCCAAGGTGGCTACGGTGTTGTCATTTCCTTCACTCTGGACATGGAAAAAAGAACATTGAACGTCAAGGTTAATTCGAGTCGTTATGGCTCCAGTAGTAACAGCTATCATGTCACGGCACATCGTGTTTCACCTTTCTTTGCGTGCAGTTCACCTTACACGAGTATTAGTTTAGTGGAATGAAAACATTTCACTGTCGGTGAAATTCATTGCTGGTTGTGAACGGAAAAAATGCAGGAAAATCGCAATGCCAGCTGAAATGCGCGAGTTTCGTAAATTGTTGTTTCTACTGTTGCTAAAATATGTACATCTAAAACTTAGTGTTGTAGAATTAGATCTGTAGAATTTGAGGTGGAATTAAATAGATATAATTTCGCGATAAAGTTTGAGTATTTTCGTGCGGGGGTGTTCAAAGAGGAAACCGTATTTTAATTGGACGCACTACAACCAGGGGAGGGGGTAAATTTTGGGATCCGAAGGCAATGTTTTCTGGGCCACTCTTGATCATTTCAGATACAGTTCCAACCAACTAAAGACTTCCTATAAAATTCTTGTAAAACGATTGCATGTAAAAATTAGGAGGTGAAAATTAGTATAGGAAAGTACACGGTTCCAGAAGTATTCATGAAAAATCGCACGCGTGCACTCGCAAAAATTATAAATATTTCGCCAAACACAAGTGTGATTTTTCATTAATACTTCGTGAACAAGTGTAATTTCCTATATAATATCATTTTATAATCAATTTTACACGAGCAATCAATGATAAGAACATTGTATTAATGGCCGTTTTTATACTAGAGACGCATTATGCGTCTGGACGAACTTTGGCAAGCATTTGTTGTTCGTCTGGTTATGTGTCCTTAGTATAAAGACGGGCACAAGACGCATTATGCGTCTAGACTAACTATGTTCGATTCTTCGTCTTAAGAGACGCACAACCGATGATATCGATAGTTCGTCTAGACGCACAATGCGTCTTGTGCCCGTCTTTATACTGAGGACGCATAACCAGACGAACAATAAATGTTGATAGTTCGTCGCATTGGCCGTTTTTATACCAGAGACGCATTATGCGTCTGGACGCATAATCCGTCTTCTACATTATTCGTCTAGTATTATTCGTCCCATCTTTATACTAGACGAATAATGTAGAAGACGGATTATGCGTCCAGACGCATAATGCGTCTCTAGTATAAAAACGGCCATTGCATTCAAGCGAGCACAGCCATACGCGCCTTTGTCAATGGACCTTTCCCCTTATAACTAAAATTTCGATCTAGACAAAAATTTCATCACAGCTTGAAAGAGCATCACAAAATTACTAATATTCCAAAGTTTTGTTGCAAAATCTTGTAAAATGCGGATAATATAGCCTTGCGAAGTTTGCCGTTTTTCAGTCGTTTTGTATTACAAACGGGAAATTGACATCGGATTCGGGTGTTGGGGCTGCAATTTCCCGTTTGTAATGCAAAATGACTGAAAATTGCGAACTTCGCAAGGCTCTATTTTCCTCATTTTACAACATTTCGCAACGAAACTTTGGAATATTACTAATTTTGTGATGCTCTTTCAAACTGTGATGAAATATTGTCTAGACTTGCCTAGATCAAAATTTTGGTTATAAGGAGAAAGGTCTATTTTGATCTTTATTTCTTCTTTTTCGTTAATATTTAAACATACTTAAGTAAGAGCTCAGAAAATATAAATTTTCAAGTTGTTTATGATTTAGATTTTGACACTTTCCGTTTAATGCACACGGGCTCGTATTCGTGCCTATGGATCTTTAATCGGCACGTTTTTAACCAAGACACCCTTTCGATAATTACGTCATTTAACCTGGGAACCTCGCTCTCATGAATCGTGAGCCAATCACCTTGCGTATAATTTACTAATGAGAGCGAGGCTCCAAGACCAAAAAGTATGTGTGACGTAATTATCGATGTATTAGAATCGAGCAAATTGACTAAAATGATATTAGACATAATAATGCAGTATTTTAAATTACTGAAAGAAGCGAAACTGAGATTTCATCCTTGTTCTGACTAAAATGTCAAACTCAGTCCGGGCAGAAACTTGCCATGTAATCGTAAAACAATTTCAGCCCGGGCTGAAAATGTCCATATAATCTGTCCATATCTCAAGATATCTTTTAATTAAATGTTTTCGTTTTATTTCCAATGTTAATTTCGTTTTATATCCGAACCAAAGACCATTTGTATTTTCAAAACAGCAACAATGAAAATGGCGGGAAATTTTCGAACTTCGTATGTCACTAGCAAGCGTGAAATACGGAAAATACGCGCACCTGGTCCCGGATGTAGTAGCGTATGAGTTCTATGAGTGCTTTAGTTTCCAGTAAAACACCATTGTCCATATCATAATAAGAAATTATGAACCATATAAACTTATCATGTATCTGTGAGGTCTTTAATTATGTCTTGCTTGCTTGTAGCAGTTTTCGGCGAATGTACTAAGCCATGTATTAATTAGTGAGTATATCATTACTCCGTTTGCCTTTGTTGCGTTGAATTTCTTTTTGCGTGGAGAGACTGGGCAGGGATTAAATAATTTGGCTTCAATTTTCAGGCTTGAAATCCATAGGCGTACCGGGCGGGGGCAGCTGCCCACTTCTGCCTCCCTGAAGAATTGAAAGGTCGACAAGTTGGCCAAAGTCGGGCATAAAATACAGGGGGAAGTAAATCGAATTTAAAAAGAGCGAACTTATATGGTACTGGGGGTCGAACTTTTATAGTACGAGGTACCAACCAGGTTGGCGCCTCGAGGACTTAGAGTCCTGGTCAACCACAATGCAATGCGTGCGTTTCTGTTACGTTGTGGGCCAGAGGCAGCCATTTCGTGTGGCCTCGAAAATGGCGGCAACAATTGAGAAAAGTAACGGGAAAACGTAAACAAAAGCGCGCATTGCATTGTGGTTGACCAGAACTCTTTAAACACGTACGTGTTTTACCTCTGTGTGCATGTGCTGGGACGGGCAGGAATCAATAGTCGGGGCATTTTCAGGCTTAGTTGGGAAAATGTCATCTCCCAAACACAAACTTGGGCCGGTACACCTATGTTCAAATTGAATGGAGAGTTAGCGAGCGTTCAGAAAGTTATTCGACAAAACCTTTTCCGAGAAAGCTATTTTTTGTTTTAAACGCTCATGTATTCGCCCACTTAAAAGCGTCAAAATTACAGCTTAAACAGATATTGTAAAAGAAATATTTTCCCCTATATGCAATCTTAAAAGACAAGGTTTAGCTGCAGTAAAAACAAGTACAACGAATGAATTCTCTACCCATTTGTGCCACACATTTTTCACTGATATAAACATTGAAATCAAAGACAAAGTTAAAGTCTGTGTTTAAAAACATATTTTCAAAAGCACATGTTATCGGTAAAACGACCAGTACAATACAAAATCTAAAAGTATAACATACCTTCTTCATTGTCCTTTTAGTAGAAAAGCGTTGATTATAAAATCAAAACAGCAAAGCAAGTGAATATGAATACGAACATGTCGTTGTCGAAAGTAACCGAATTTAGCAAAGCCAAAACGCCAGGCCTAAACTTTTTATTCCAATGATTTTCTGCTACCAGAAAAATATTCATGAAATAAGCATGTACATTTTTACTGAAACTATATGTATAAATGTTCTTGTCGTTTCACGGAAATAACATGCCCACAAAACGTTGTTTTAACTCGTAACTTTAATAGAAAGTAAAAGAAAAGGTAAACAACGGTTCCGGGCAAACCGTAGATTTCTTACATCCTGTTTGTTCTGAGTAAATATTTCTAGACCTCGGGGACAGTCGCGTGATCTAAAGTTCGCGACGCACACGCGCGCACGCCACGCGATAGCAGTTACAATATGTCTTTTAGTGTGTTTCTTGCCAGTTTTCTCGAATTTTCGTATTCGTGTTTATCTTTCAACTTTTCAATTCAACAGTCGCAGCCGCACTGATCTCAAATTAGTTTGCATGTAACACTGAAATTTTAATGAATTATATTTTACATCTGCTAAAAAAATAAACACGTTATTTTCCAGCAGCTTCGCTCCGGATGAGAAAAACCTCGGTCTTGAAATTCATCCGAACCTCGCAGCCGGTAAATAACATATATGTATTCCATGGGTTAAAATTTAACCCGCTGTGTTATATCCGAGTTTATTATAATATTATGGACAATGGTGTTTTACTGGAAACTAAAACACTCGTAGAACTTATACGTCACTACATCCGGGACCAGATGCGCGTATTTTCCGTATTTCACCCTTGCTAGTGACATACGAAGTTTGAAAATTTCCCGCCATTTTCATTGTTGTTGTTTTGAAAATACAAATGGTCTTTGGTTCGTATATAAAACGAAATTAACGTTGGAAATAAAACATTTAAAAGACATCTTGGAGATAAGTAAAATTTATTCTAGTTTTATGTTTGCACTATAATTTAAAAAATATCGCTTTTATACTGCATTAATGCAGGTCTTTGACGTGCTTATTTACATGTCGTCTTTGTGTGTATTTTTGTCACTCTGAATAAGTCCATATAATAAACAGAACATTAAACGGTTGCGAGAAGATATGGATTTATGTTCTCGTGTGAACATAAAATCCATATCCCTTCGCAACCGTCTAATATCCTTTATTATATGCACAAGGTCAGGATATGAGGTATTCTGCAATCTGATTGGTTCTCTACTAACAGGATATTAGCTCATATCCTGCTAGTAGAGAAAAACAAAATGGCGGCTCAAACTGAATTTCCAACGTTTTGCGAACGAGAAAACGGCAAGTTGTTCGCTTTTTATAGCTTTTACAGGATTAAAAACACAATAAAAAACTCCCACAAATTGTTTACAGGTTAGAAAATGAATTTTTAAAATTTAAAATGGTTAAAAATATATATTTTTGAAAAAAATAATCGGCCGAAGGAGCGAAGATAAAAACATAAACAAAATAGAAAAATATTGAAAATATCCGAAAAGCAAAGTCTGTGAATTCAGACCTTGTGTATAAAATAAAACAGTTATTCCACTCACTCTCGTCGAATATGAGCGATAGCCGATTCGGCGCTACGCGCCTCATCGGCTATCAGCTCATATTCGACTCGAGTTCGTAGAATAACTGTTAAATATATATAGTTTGTGTATTTCTCCATGTCAGTTAATTTCATAACGTCAGAAAAGAAAACTTCTGATGCTGACAAGAGTTTAATGAAGAAATGTTCCAAGCTTATAAAAGCTGGAAATTACTGTGAATTTCAACCAGCTTTTTCAGCGATGGTCCCTGGTAGTTATACAATGCGAATCTTTGTTTGCTTGCGCACATGAAAAGAAAAACTCTCGAAAAGCATTGCAAAAATGTATTCTACTTGTTTCCATCTATTTATTACATTTTGTGTAATATACAGAGCCTATCCTGCTTCATAAAAGCTCTAACATGCAAAAGAAAAATTCTTCAAATTAGCTGCGTGTTCGTTTATTATTTCTACTTATACTATAGTACAAACCGTTCCCAATATCTAGACTAAAACCAAAAGTTAACGAAAAAATGAAGTATTGCAGTGTCTTTCTTGTTTCTTTTCTAGTCTATCTTCAACACGTTTTTCCATGTTAAGGATTCGTCGACGCTTTTTTTCTTACGGGCACCTGGCAGGTTTTCACACATTGTGCATGCGTCATCTTTGCATCTCGTAAATGGAGGGCATTTTGATTCTTGAGAATTGCTTGTACATTTCACGATCTGGGGCGACCACGTCAAAAGATCGTTTTTCGTTGTTTCCCTGGTAGTGAGTCGGAGTTGCCACATGCATCCCCGTATGAATGGCTTTCCTGTATCATAGTTTTGGCAAGTGAAAGTTATATCTTTGGTTCCTGATTGGCTGTTTTCCCACTCTTTTGCGAGCGACGTTGACACGGTTGTAGTGGTTGATGCGCTGGCTGATGCGCCGCCATATGTGACACCAGCTTGGATTGTAGAACTAACTGAGATCGATATACTCGTGCTGATTGTTGTCGTGTAACTGATCGTGTTGCTTATCGTGTGAGTAACTTCACCATTTTGATTGCAGCCAACCATGGATCATGTTGCACTAGGTGTAACCCATTTTTTATCCACCCATCTAAAGCGTTGATCAGGAGCCCCCTCGCAGTGGTAGCTCGCCACATTCCTTCCTTTGCTTGCGTCATAGTCATCAACGTCTACGCACTGTCCTGACTTCTTACTCCGGATAGAACAGTAATCTCCATGGCAGTAATGGCGCGGTCGTATCCACATTTGGTTAGGCAAATCTTCACACGCATGCATAGTGATATCGCCATATCCATTATAATCTTCAATATCGACGCACAATCCGGACTTTTTGTTGACTAATTCGCCATTTTGGTAAAAATTGAAATACTGATCAGCAGCATTTTGACAGTTGTCTATTAAAACATTGCCACGTCCTTGGTCTCCCTCCACATCCAGACAAAGACCAGATTTCTCAACTTGCAGTCTCCCATGTCCCAGCAACGTACCCCGAGAGCGGAAGTAGAAGTACTGATCATCCAGATTTTCGCAACGATATGTACCAATGCCACCATTTCCATCATAGTCCTCAATATCCATGCACGCTCCAGATTGCACGTTTATGATTTCCCTTGCTTCTTGTCGAATTCCTCCTCTGTCTACGAAGGTTTTTGACCTTCCATATCTCCACTTCTGATAATTAGGTATGGCTGGGTATAATTGGCAAGAAGTTGACACCAAATTTCCGTTTCCGTCTGTGCCTGGTGTAAAACAATTATAAGGAGTTTTTGAATTCCTTATCGTGCCATCTTCACACATAATAATTTGCTGATCACGATAGCCATCACAATCATGTGTTGCAATATCTCCACGACCATCTGTTTCATATATGTCAACTCATTTCTTTGACTTCAAAACTCGAAGTTCGCCAATTTCCTTCGGATTAACACAGACCACTTGGGCAGCGGTTTCAGTGGAAATACACGTCAAGACAACAACGATTAACAAAATAATATTTGACATCGTTATTTCCCTGGTTCTTGCGGGAAAATCCTAAAAAGCGAGGAATATTTGTAAGTAACATAAAAAAATGACGCGATATTTGCGAAGGACAGCAAGTAATAGAAGTAGATGGTTCATTTAAATAATGTTAAGATTAGAAGACATTAATAATTATGGTCAATACTACAATTCTAATGATTACTGGCAATCGATACGATGCAAATATTATTCGCCTCATATAGTTTCAACTACCTGAAATTAAATACTGATAGTGAAAATATGAATAACTTCAAACAATACTTGGAAAATTTTCAAACACGCTTATTAGATGAACTCAATTTTGATTTCAGTGTGATTATACAATTACTTTATGGTTTCCGTGTTTGGATGGCTTGATCCAAACGCGGGAATGTTGCGAGAGTTAAGAAAAGCGCGCGAGGCGAGTAACTTTGCGCACTTATCTTAACTCGAGCAACGTTCCCAAGAGTTTGGATCAGGCCATCCAAACACGGAAACCATAAAGTAATTGTTTTATAAAATAACAACAACACGATAGTCTTGCAAGTTTTATTTAAATAAGCGCAAGTATAAAAGCTAAATTCTCCCAAGTTGCAATGCTAAATTCTCCCAAGTTCGCGAGAAAGCGAACGAAGCTATATAATTTTGTAAACAATAAGGTTAGTCAACCGTGAAACACTACAACGTAGATTTACAACGAAGTTTTTGTCTTTAAAAGTTTGACAAAATTACAAATTTTGATTACATGTTTAAAATTCCCGCGAAGACGATGGGAAGTAAGGTATCATATTGCTGATAATGCTGAAAAATAACAATGGTGGCCGTGTAAACACGGAATGATAGCTTATACTTGTAAATATTGAAATATTTCGGTTGTTTCGGCAGTTTTTATTAAAATTTTCCAGCATATTAAATCAGCAACATGATACCTTACTTCCCGTCACCCCCTGCACGCATAAATTAAAAGCTGGAATTGCCTATTGATAAGGGCACCAATGAAGCGTATCAGGCGATTTGGATTGAAATAATTTTACCTAAAAATGCAAACATAATCTGCGGAGTAATTTATAGACAACATGATTCGCCGGAGGGTTTCCTAAGTTATTTTGAAGAAATTATTGAGAGATTAAGTATACCATGGGTTAACCCATTTATTTAATGTTTAATGGGTGATTTTAACATCAATCTCCTTTTTTTGCCTGTGTTGGTGTTATGTACTCAGGTGAATATGATGTTTGTGATGTTACTCTGAGTGTGTATCCACACCGGGCAAGCTTGAAAAATATGCCTGCCCACGGTGGGACTCGAAATTACGACAAACCTTCGTTTTGAAACTTGCAACTTTACTCAAAATTTTCCTTTTTGTCTGGAGAGCTTTAATTTGATCCCCACTATTGATGAACCGACTCGTGTTGTATGGAAACTCAGCTACTCTTATAGACAATATATTTGTCAATACAGAATATGATATATTAGGAGTGGGAGTATTATTTCGGATATAAGTGACCACTTTTCGCAATTTTGTATTACTTCCACATTTAAGAAAAATTGTTTTTTGTTCTTCTAAATTATTACAAACTTTAAAAAGAACAAAACAATAGACACTCCGAAAATAGTTAACATTTTATTCAATGATAACTGAAACCTAGTCGAAACGTTGAATAAAATGTTAACTATTTTCGGAGTGTCTATTGTTTTGTTCTTTTTAAAATTACAAACTTCCCCTTCCAAACTAAAGAAAACTAACTTCCCCTGCAGTCTGATCTAGATCATGTCTAATATCATAAAAGAAGTATCACAAAAACGTATATAATTATCACTTTCCATAAAATTGTTTTCCAATTGAATGTGTAATTTTAATTAATTTCTATCAGACCGATACAGCGTTCGTGAAAAGCTCGAAGCTTAGTGTATAATTACTGCATGTATATCATTAGTATTCTTTGCGCTGCATGCTGCTATGTAAATCTATCTTGTTTTGTACGTTTGTAATTTATGGGTTCGCAGTGACGAACTTCGCAGTACTTCGCACTCACAGTGGTCTAGATTATAGTACACACAAATTTAATATAATAAAAAGAAATTTAGGTGCCCGAAACAAAATAGCGTCTGTGCATATTTCACTCATTAAGACCCCACTTTACCTTTTCTTTTCTGGCTTCTCCAAAAGTAATTCTAGCAGCACCAATTTTATGATCAAAATCGCTTATGTCCATTCGTCCTAACGAAGATCCGGCAAAGATTCCTTCAAAGATTCCCTCAAGGACTCCTTTGAAGAGTCTTTGCAAGATAAATATATAACGTACGGTAATACGTCATTAAACATGCTTCTAAATTGTGGAGACTGCATTTCTGTAGCTTGATTTCTGAAATTATTGGTTGCGCCCTTAGGCGCCATACGGTATGCACATTTTGTGCATGTTAATCAATAGCCAAATTTTACAATACAGACATGTAACGCAATGTTCATTTATTTACATCGCGAATTGGTATTTTTGCACAAGTGAATATAACAAATCCTACAAGTTGATTGGTTAAATTTGACGTGTTTCACCTACAGGTGAATATAACAAAACCAAAATTTTCAAAATGGCGGCTAGCCGTTTTGTGCAAGTTACTGATAAAGAAATAAGCTAAATTAAAATAAATCCAGTCGCAAAAAAACACAAAAGACTTGTGTAAAAATACTAAAACAATTATTCGCCTTTGGCGAATAATTCTTAATTAATTATTTAGTAAGTCAAGAAGTAATCTTCGCTATAGCGGCTATATAACGCCGAATTTCAAAGTAACTCGTATTGATGTCATAATATGTCATAATGCTGTAGTTTTAATTAGGAATGTTGAAAATATGAAGTAAACTAGTGTAAATTGTCTGCCTGTCCATAATTAAAACTTTGGAAGATAATTATGTGAATTGTTTTATAAAAGCGGTTAATTTTACTTTATCCATTAAGCAGCAATCCCCTCTACTAAATTGGTTTGTCTGGTCCAATGTCATATAGTAAGTTATTCCAATGCCGCTCAAATGTATACTCATCAATAGTAAGCTTGGGTTAGAGCTTAATGGTTAAATCATAGATTGAAACACTTGTTGAGTCCTTTTAAGCATCAGTGATGAAACTAAAGAAAACTAACTTCCCCTGCTAACTTCCCCTGTTTCATAATAATTATGTCAATCATGAGAGGGGTGTGTCTACAACACTATATCCCTCCTTTCTTTTAAACGCAACTTGAACTTGTCCAATATCAACAAAATCAAGTCCGGATTCTTTTTTTTAACATTTTTATCTTTATTTTATCTTTATTTTCTCTATAAATAAGCTTCTTAAAGTAATTTTGACATTCCGCAATGTTGTTTTATAATTTTATTCTCATCGCCGTTGTCGGTTGAATTTAATTAAACGTAAGTATATTTCTTGCTATTTCCCACCATCTACATTGCATGCAAAAACAATCTCATTGTCTCCTACTGTTTCATATGTCAATCATGAGAGGAGTGTGTCTACAACACTACACCTTCAAAACTAACTTCACCTTCCAAACTAAAAACTAACTCATTTTTCTCTTCCAAACAAACTTCCTCATCCAAACTAAAGAGAACTAACTCATTACTTCCCCTGCAGTCTGATCTAGATCATGTCTAATATCATAAAAGAAGTATCACAAAAATTTTATATAATTATCACTTTCCATAAAATTGTCTCCCAATTTTTTCAATTTTTTTTGCGGACGGCAAACTAATTATGTCCATTTGTCCTAACAAAGATTCCATCATAAACAAACTACTGAGTCTTTGAAAGATAAATAGCGGTAATACGTCATTAAATATGCTTCTAAATTGTGGAGACTGTATTTCTGTGGCTTGACTTCTGAAACTATTGGGTGCGCCCTTAGGCGTCCATATGGTATGCATTATGCATAGAATGTGCATGTTACTCCTATATCCAAATTTTACAATACAGACATGTAACGCAATGTTCAATTGTTTACATCGAGAATTATTTAGTAAGTCAAGAAGCCTGCCTATGCGTTTTTGTCTTAAAATGTTCCTTTGTATCCTGTAAGCTGTACGTAGCTTTGTAGCAGTCGACGTTCAATTTTATATTGGGCCATATGTTCTACCGTTTTAAACACATTTCTCAAACAAATTCATGCTACACAGTATAACGGGATAACGCCGAATTTCAAAGTAACTCGTATTGATGATATTTAACTAATTTAAGTTAATTGATATGTCATAGCTGATCAAATGTTTCATGAAATCGAAAGAAACAAAGACATACGTTTTGAAATCATTTCGATCATTTGAAATGTTTAATTAATAAACAATAAATCTTAAACTTATAAGGAATCAAAAATTTGCACAAATCAATAATTAAGCAACCGCCAGAACTGAAGTAGCTACTATGTATCAATGATGCTTAGTAATATACATTCACAAGAGGGACAATAAAAGTTAACTTCATTAAGTTTAAGTATTTGTACTTTTAACATTTAATATATATTTCACTAGATAGAAAAGTGAGTTGGTAATACAACATACCTGACCCGGCTTTTTTAATTGGCAGAAGTTGGCAGAGAAAGAATTATCCAAGATAACTGAACTTCGAGATTCGCGGTATACGCAGCGGTTTGAATTTCTGTTGCGGGTAAGGATAAAACGCGGATACGGACGGACGGACGGATGGCGGACGGACGGACGGATGGCGGACGGACGGACGGACGGGGGGGACAAGCCGATGGACGGGGGGGGGATCAAATCCGCGTTTTTTAGGAAATGTAATTAAGACTATTATTAATCGTAATAAATTGTCGAAAAAATGATAAAATATTAAATTGTGGAAATGCGGGGTTTTTCGAACCTTTGTAACGCTGAAAATTCTAATTAAATACGTTAGACATCTGCTTAAACTCGGGTCCAATTTCATTTGCGCAAATATCGCGTAATCGAGTGAGTATTTGAACGCGATAAAACAACTCGTACGAAGAAATATTAATACATAAGGTTTACTAACGTACTTGCCAATGTCGTATTTTAACAAAAGTCCAACTGTTTCGTCGGATGTAATCGAGGCGCATTCTTTCTCAGTCTGATTAAATTATAAATGTAAACAATACTAAAGTTGAGAGAAATACTCATTACTGTGACAGCACGATTCCGATATAAACCCGCTTTGCCGATGTCAAATGTCCAATTAATTAATATATATGATTTGGTATTAAACTCACAAACAATTAGTTTCCAACTATATACGAAACCAGTAGTTTATAGGCTGTTTACAAACGCTAGGTTACATTAGTTTTTATCTGTACTTCCGCTTAAAAAGGTCAATTTTAAAACAGGGATTGTCTACATCAGCGACATGCATATAATCCCCAAATGCCGAGTAATTCTTATGAAAATTGCTCTTGCAAAGCACAAAGCTTGCGAAGTACAGGACAATGTGACAATGTCCACTTTGTATATTTGCGCACGGCTATTTAAGGTAATACGATATAGCTTTTGTCAGCATAGACTTTGACATGAAACTTCCTTTCGATCTTTAACTGCCACAGCACGGTTGTGTTTGTGAGGCAAGCGAAGCCAAATGTTTTTTTTTGGCAGTTTGGGGAAAACAAGCCAACCTACTCGCGAAACTGTTGATACGTCAGGATTGCCCAACTATTCGTATAGTTCTTTACTTGAAAAAGACGAAATTGGGGAAGGTGGTTTCGCGGTTGTTTTTACCGCGAAGCTGCCGGACAATGGAGCTAAGATTGTTGTGAAGAAGCTATTAGCGTCTGACAATGAAGCTAGGAAGTCGCTGGTTAAAGAAGCACGACTTCTTAGCAAGTTGCAACACCCGAATGTTGTCAGGTTTGAAGGAGTTTGTCTGGACAAGTACGCTGTGTTGCTTGAATATGTGTATTTTGATTTTACGCCAATCGGAAACGACGGCATCACTGTGCATAGCTTAGCCAATTTCTTGGCAGTTTGCGAACAATCAGATTGCCCATGCGCATGCATTGCTCGATATTTATTCATTCTTCCTTGGACGTCGCGTTGGGTTTGAAGTATCTGCACGAGAAAGGGATTGCCCACCGTGACCTGAAACCTGAAAATATAAAATATTATATATTGTTTTTAAAAACAAAATTTAACACTATCTCGAACCTCTTACATACGCGCAAGTTTTCAATGAAGTCTATAACATATTTTAAATGACAAATTTTAATTGCCAATTCAATTGAACGTGAGTAGATACGACCAATTTTCCACAGGGCGTCTCAAAATAACGCTACGGGTTGTCGTGCATCATAAACTTAGCTAAACAATTCAATTTTTACATAGGACGAAAGAGCTGTTATTCACCCTTTCTATACCTTTTTTAAATTCTAACGATAAGAAATGGCCACATACTCGTCAAATAAAAATTGGTGATCGAATTCACATTCTTCCAGCGTTAGAAATTGAAAATAAATTAATTATGCAAAGTTAGCAAATGTTAGCTCATTCCAACCTCGTACCCAGGGCATTTGTCAGCAGAGCCATTTCACAGCATTCCAGGATCTGAATACCTGCAACACCTTTTTGATCCAACTCCAAAAGGAAAACAAACAAAAATCTACTGTAATGCATGCTTCTGTATCCCAACTATATGAGCGATTATATATACTGTGTATATATGTAAGAAAAAACCATAGGAAAAGGTTTTTTACGAAGTAACCACTCATTTGTTCTGTTTTTCGAACAAACGTTTCCACTGAAAAGTCTACTTTTACCGCTAATTACTTCCTGTTATTTATTAGACGCGTGCATATTAACATATTCGCCCAAATTATTCGCCCATCGTTCGCTAAAGTGCATGCGGTTGTTAAGGCGGATCTCCACTAGACGATTTTTATGACGATCGTCTGAAAAATTCGCCACGAACATGCGCAGTAGGAAATAAATGATCGTGAAAGAAATCGTCAAGAATCGTCAGGCGCTCGACGAAAAGTAGAAACTAGTTCTACTTTTCGTCGAGCGCTTGACGATCGTCATATTTTCAACCAATAAGATTCCGCGCTGTTTTTCTTGCTGCTAGTACATCTCCACTTGTCTCTAAATCGTCACGATTTTTTATGACGATCGTCATAGACATCGTCTCAAAAATCGTCTAGTGGGGATCCGCCTTTACTCTGACTAATTTTATACTATGTGACTGAATTTATAGATCTAAATAACTTGTAATATTTCTATCTTTAAAAGCGTTTTGTGTTCTTAGCTTAAAGCTAAGCCATCATGCATTAACGTTGTCCTCTACAGATACCCACACTGTAAATTAAAAAGGGCCAAATCGACCCCAAATTCCGTTTCAGCCCTTTTGGGGCCAAAGCTGTTTTGGCCCTATGTGAAAGCCATTTTGGCATTGGAGAGCTGGATCGGCACCGACGGAGCCATTTTAGGTATGGAGGAAAGCCAAATTGGCCCTACCCTTTGCCGTAACGGACCCATCATTTTCCAATTTAGCCCCATCAATTGCCAATATGGCCCCACAGACCAAAACGACTCTCACGTCCGGGTTTGTTTTGGCCCCACATAAAGGGGCCCGCTTTTGATCAACACATTGGCCCCTATGAGCTTCGTTTCGGCTCTCCATCGCGGAACGACTCTCGCATAGGTCAAATCGACCCTGGAATGAAATCTACCCTTTTGTCGAAACGACCCTTCTGTCAAATCGACTCTTAATTGTGTCAAATCGACCCTTCTGTCAAATCGACTCTTAAATGTGTCAAATCCACCCTTGTGTCAAATCGACTCTTAATTGTGTCAAATTGACCCTTTTGTCAAATCGACTCTTAAATGTGTCAAATCAACCCTTCTGTCAAATCGACTCGTAAATGTGTCAATTCGACTCTTCTGTCAAATCGACTCTTAATTGTGTCATATCGACTCTTAATTGTGTCATATCGACTATTAATATTGTGTCAAATCGACCCTTCCGTCAAATCGACTCTTAATTGTGTCGATCGTCCGTCGTATGATCGTATCAAATTAACTTCCGCATAAAACTTAAAGAATGCACATGCTCGCAAAGAAAAAGAAGAGGACGTTTTTTGGATTAATTTATACAAGGTGAGATTTGATGTTTCATTTTGTAGGGTATTGAAATTTGTTTTCCAGATTTTTAGTAATATTATCGTAAATATAAATACGGTATTTGTAAAAATTAATCACGAGAATTGAACGTGTAATCATAGAATAAGGCCTAGGTGTAATATTAATATTAATGATCGCGGGAACTGGGAACGAGAATGCACGCGCCCGTAAGCAATCGGGTTTGCGATCATTCTCGAACATGCGTACTAACTTTTGGCGCCATTATCGAACGTTGGCCGTTGGGATTTGCTTCGACGAGGGATACGGATAAAATACAAGCGTAAAACCTCGTTCGTTGCAGTATATTTTGAACAAATAAACAATTTATTAGGAAAATACGTTCAAGAAACGTCTCGTGCTGTACTAGCCTAATTCTGGCAAACGTTATTTACTTTCTTCACCTTCGTGTCGACGACTGTTGTTTGCTGATGGCCAAATCACGACAGCGGACATCAATTATTCAAAATATGTTCTTATAGCTTCACGTTTACGATACGAATGTAAGATTATTTATTTTTTGTATATGTAGGTTCTAGTTGAAAGTACAGCGACGATGAAAAAAGTGCACACAACATTGAAATATCCAGTTCACTACTAGCTCAAATCCTGCGACATATCACTTGCTAGCAGCCCAGTCTAGTTTAACTTTGCCCAATCAAGAATCATCTCCTGAATCAGGCATACTGGCAACACTGGTTCATTTGATAATGTAAGTTTTTAAACTGGTATTTTATATTTATATAGCCTCTGTCAAATCAGGATGAAAGTCATGCATGAATTGCTTATCAATACACAAAGGACATTTCAAGTTCCAGATGAACTATTATTAAAGCTAATGATAAAAGATGATAAAATATTATTAAAGCTTTGATGAGTGTTCTGCAACTATGTTTCAACTTTAAAATACTCTCATCCTCGTTTGACCCATAATTATTTGTTGATTTTACTCGATACTAAATAGTGAAACATCGAATCCAGAGAAAATCTTAAAATGCAGAACCCACTGTAATTCCGAGCTGTAATCACATAATTATATAAAAGTCGTTTCAGTAGCAGCAAAAGCCAAACTAAACACCAATCTAGGATTAATAGGTTTAGCTTTTAGGCCGAGAATAATACACAATTGACAATTTTGTGGCTGATTGATTAATTAATTAATAGTATACTGTATATTGATGTTGTTGTATACAGGACATCTGACTTACATGTCAAATTAATAGTCGAATCTGTGATTATATTGAGCATGGCAGATTTGACATTTGAAACATTGTTGATGTTAATAACCCACTGAGTCGCATTGCGCCCTGATGCGCACTAAGTATTTATTATTTTACTCTGGCTATCTAATGCTAGCAATTTTACTCATCAAGGGGAGAGCACTGGCGGTTAATGTGTTAACTAGCCTATCTGCCCATGTGTACATAGTTAACCCATTGAGTCGCATTGTGCCCTAATGCGGCCTAATTTATTATTTTACTCTGCCTATCGCAGGACAATATTAAGGGCAGAGCGCTGGCGCTTAATGTGTTAACTATAGCCTATCTGCCCATGTGTGTTGTTAACACATTGAGTTGCATTGTGCCCTAATTTATTATTTTACTCTGTCTAACGCCAGATGATTTCACTCATTAAGGGGAGAGCACTGGTGCTTAATGAGGTTAACTGGCCTATCTGCCCATGTGTGTTGTTAACACATTGAGTCGCATTCTGCCCTAATTTATTATTTTACTCTGTCTAACACCAGATGATTTTACTTGTCAAGGTAAGGGCGCTGGTGCTTAATGGGTTAACTGGCCTATTTGCCCGTGTTTATAGTTAACCCATTGAGTCGCATTGCGACCTATTTTATTTTTTTTACTCTGTCTTGAGAGGAGAACGCTGGTGCTTAATGGGGTTAATATTGAAAATATAGATCAACATTTGTCAAAATGCATGACTTGTGCAATCATTTCTGTAATAATTAAGATATTAATTAAAATATCAAATATAATGCCTTATGGCTTATTTCAAATAGGGAGATGCTATGTATGTCCATTGAAACTTAGTGGATTTGTTGTAGTACATCAAATAAATGCTAGCCATAAACATATTCAAGTCAATCGAAGAGAATGTAGAATTGCACTTTACATAAAATTCCCTAGTTATTGTACATTAATGCAAAAAAAAGCATTTGAAATGAAATATATTGTTTTAATTTTATTTCTATGGTTTGTACTATGATATACAGGGGCTATACACTCTTTGGGAACCCGCAGGGCTGTTGGCAGAGCATTTCCATGGTCTGGAACTTCAGTTCTAAACACGATGTGTGGGTGCGAAGATGTTGTGTAGGATATATAGAATGGAGGAAAGAAAGAGGCAATTTGAAATTTAAAATGGTAGGCTTATTAAGGATGAGATACAGAGAAAAACGGTAATGCAGAACTACGTTCTCTTAAATTGTCAAAATTAAACGCTACCAGTCTTGGTCTCGTTTCAAACTTGAATAACGAAAAGTCTAAAAATATAAAAATTACAAGAACAGATCAGCTAAGTCCAGTTATAAAATTAAATGATGAAGGAAAGCTGTCATTTTAGGAAAGTATTGTTTTGGGGTGTGTAAACTCATGTCTATTTTAACTTGTGGGTTGCCAAACTTCTTAAATATGGAATTTGTTTTGTCTGACCAAGATATAATGAATACCACTAGTGACATGAGTATGTCCAATTAATATTTAACTAGAAATAAATGCATGCAGCAACCCCTAGCCTATATTTTCCAAACATTGATTTAACATGAACTATTAGCCAGCACTGAACACAGGCTCACATTGTGTCAAGTGTTGTCAAGGCAACATAATGTCACATATTTTAAATTTTTTGAGTAATTTTGCAAGTGTTCATACCACAGAATCTACCATACATAATTTTAAACAAATAGATAGGTGAAGTAATTCAAACAAAATGATTTTGAACTTTATTACTCTACTCTGTCGAACGCCTATTCTACTCGTAAAGGGGAGAGCCCTGGTGCTTAATGGGTTAAATAAGATCTTATAGTTATTGTAGAAATTAATATTTTTAGGTCAGTTTCGTACTTCATGTTAGCAAATTAGCAGTATTGCATTTTGATTGGTCATCGCAAATCATGTGAGTGATCACATGACAGGACAATGAACGTTGAACAATAACTCAGTGTTGTATGTCAGAGAGAGACGCACGGGTGTGCAAATTTATGTCGCACATAATTTTAAATAAAACTTTATAAAAATCAAGAGAAGGTCTTGCTTTTTAAATGGAGCCCGATAGGGGACACTTGAACAATCTAATCGGTTAAAGAACTATAAGCCTATAACGGCGGTGAAATATTCAGACGGCGGCAGCGAACATTGTTGTTAATAGTGCCCTTCAAGTGTCATTCTCGCAACCTCGTTCTTCTCGGTGAAAGGTTGCAGATCTGTTGTCTTGGTAGAGGTAACTTCTTTATTTATTCGGTTGAAATTAACCTTAGGCTTTCTTTCACACTTGCGTATATTTTGCGTTGTAATTGTTTGTGTTTATAGTGTATATTTGTTGTTTAATTGTCGTCTTGTCTAGTGACCTCGTGCTCGGTATATAGTAGGTTAATAGGATGGCGACTGATTTAGGCAAAGCTAAAGGTAGACTCGCCGGTCTTTCAGCTTATTTAAAAATTCTTTTACAAGAACTAGACCAATATGTTTCTTCTGAAGACTGTGAGCAAGCGAAACTTTTGGGGTTGAGAAATACTGTTTCGAGTATTCTTGAACAATTGGCTGTTGTTCATAATGAAATTATTAACATGCTTGATCCAAAAGAAATAGAGGCTGCAGTTGTCGAACATATGAAAGAGTTAGAACCCAGCTATCATGTTTTGGCGAAAGTAGACTTAAGGCTAGCTGCGTTTAATCAAAGTACGAAGCCAATAAATACCTTAGGCGCTTCATATGGTAATAACGTTCAGGCGCAGGGCAGCGCAGTGCATTGTAGATTACCTAAAATGCAATTACCAGAGTTTTCAGGAGACCCACTGGCATGGCAAGGGTTTTGGGACCAATTCCAAGTAGCAATTCATAGTAACACACGTATAAGTGACATAGACAAATTTAATTACTTAAAGGGATGTTTGAAAGGGGAAAGTTTATCTGCTGTATCAGGTTTAACTTTGAACTCAGAAAACTATCAGGAAGCAATAGAAATTTTGAAAGGCAGATTTGGAAATGAACAAATCTTAATATCTGCTCACATGGAGTCACTATTGAGGATCAGTAAGATAGCATCTAGGGATAATATTAAAGAGCTAAGGATGCTTTATAATCATGTAGAGAGTTGTGTAAGAAATTTGAAATCCCTTAAACTTGACACATCTGGGTACGGCTCATTGCTAATTCCAATCATAAAAGATAGATTGCCTGACGAAATTACCATGATTATTTCCAGAAAATTTGGCGAGGAGATCTGGACACTTGATAAAGTCATGGAATATTTTAATAGTGAGCTTCGAGCACAAGAGAATTGTAGTGCATCCACTTCGAATAGATCTATCCAGAAAGAATCCCAAAGGAAGGGGGCATATTATACTACTAGTGGGTTGTTTGGTCAGACCAATAAGGTTGCATGCGTTTATTGTGGCAAGGAGGGTCATTCATCATCCAAATGCAGTAGTGTTTCGAATTGCCAATCCCGAAAGGCCATTCTCCGTAGAAACAAGCGGTGTTTTATATGCTTAGATACTGGACATATTGCCAAAAATTGTAAGTCCCATTACTTATGTAGGAAGTGTAAGACTGGCAAGCACCATATATCCATATGCGAATATACACCAGCAGATCCCCCAGGTATAAATCGGGAGGAAGATAAGAATGCAACAACTAATGATAACAAGGGTTTTGTAGTACATGCTAACTGTGATAAAAGCGGTATACTATTGCAGACAGCTAGAGCGGATATATTACCTACAGATGACAATGTGCAAGTCCAGACTAGAATTTTATTTGACAGCGGTAGTCAGAGGTCATATATATCTGACAAGGTTAGAAGTACACTGAAATTGAAGGCAATTAGAGTGGAGAAAGTTGTAATCAAAACCTTTGGGCAGGCTGAGAATAGTGAGGTACAGGAACTTGATATAGTTCAACTTAAGGTTAGAAATAAAGGTGATGCTAGATTTACATTTGTAGAAGCCCTATGTGTCCCAACCATATGTAGTCCGCTGACACATCAGCCCCTGTCAAGTGTGCATGAATTACCGGAATTTGCAGGGTTGGAATTTGCTGACTTTGAGCACAAGCAACACCAAAATCTTCCAGTCGGCATTTTGATTGGCATCGATTTTTACCATGTCTTTATGACTGGTAAGGTTATAAGAAGTAAATTAGGCCCTGTTGCATGTAAAACTAGAGTGGGATGGGTACTTAGTGGTCGAATTGGCTCAAGTGCATCAGATATGCATTGTTTTGAAACACATTTGCTACGTGCTTCGGTGGAGCAGTCAGAGTCAGACATAAGCTTATGGCAAGAACTGGATAAGTTTTGGAATGTGGAGAGCATAGGCACTAAAACTGACAGTGTTGTTGACCAATTTGAAAATGACATTATTCATGACGGAACTAGGTACATCACAAAATTACCATTTAAACCTGATCATGAGGTGCTCCCTGACAATTTTACGGTTTGTGAAGGACGGCTTAAATCACTAAAGAATAAGTTGGCTGTGAGTAACATTTTGCATGAATACAATCAAATATTCTCGGAGTATGAAGAAAACGGTATAATAGAGCGTGTTCCATCAGCTGAGGTTGCAAGGGAAACAGGGCAAGTACACTACCTTCCCCATAGGCCGGTTATACGTAATGATAAACAGACTACCAAAATACGTGCAGTATTTGATGCCTCATGTAAAGTCAGTGGTCCTTCTTTAAATGAATGCCTTTATTCAGGTCCTAACCTGATAGCTAAGATTTTTGATATTTTACTTAGGTTTAGATTGAATAAGATTGGGGTATTAGCTGACATAAAACAAGCTTTTCTAAATGTTGGTATAGATGTACAGCATAGAGACTACCTTAGATTTTTGTGGTATGATTTGCAAGCTGAGGATGAGCAGGTAGTAATTTACAGGTTTTTAAGAGTAGTTTTCGGAATTACGAGTAGTCCATTTTTATTGAATGGGACCATACGACATCACCTCAGTAATTACTTAGAGAAAGAAAGAGAAATAGCACAGCGAGTCATAGATGATCTTTATGTTGATGATTTGGTCAGTGGCTGTAATAAACTTGAGGAGGGTAAAACCCTATATGATAGAAGTAAGGCAATTTTATCTGAAGCCGGTTTTAATTTGCGCAAATGGGTCACCAATGACAAAGAATTAGCAGGGTACATTGCGTCAAGGGAAAACGGAGACAACAATTTACTAGATAAAGATAATGACATGAGTTATTTTGAGGCAACGTCACCAAACATCACTGGCGAGCATCAAGTTGTTTTAGGTAAAAGCTAGTTGTGGTAACGAAAACGTTTTTCGTTTCGACGATTTGATTTCAAAATGTGCCACTGTTAAACACACGAAAAGGAATATGTTGAGCATTTCTGCTTCTATTTTCGACCCATTAGGTTTCATTGCTCCAGTCACTGCCAAAATCAAAACCATTTTTCAGTTGCTTTGCAAAGATAAATTGGACTGGGATGAAAAGAGGATAACTTTTTGTATCAGTTAGTTGATTTCCCGACGAGAGAAGATAATATTTTGGACTTGCTTCTAACTAACGTCCCAGACAAAATAGTTAACGTTCAGGGTTTTGAAGATATTCTCGAAACGGATCATAAACATATAAGCGTTCAGATTGACCTTCAAATTAAAAAACTACCAAAAGTGAAGCGAATTATATACAATCTAAGAAATGCAAATTGGACGGGACTTAAAGAAATGTTGACACGTGCGCCTTGGGATTTGTGCTTTGTGATCAGTGATGTAGAACAATCGCTTTCAAATTGGTATGATATGTTTATGTCAATTGTCAATGACAATGTACCCAAACTCACCATAAATAATGCTAATGATCCCTCATGGATGGATACAGAGCTGCGACAATTATTGAGAGAGAAAAACATCCAGAGACGGAAGGCCTTAAAATCTCAATCACTCAGCGATCTCGAAAAGTATAAACTTTTAAGGATCCAGTCTAAACAATTGATTAGTAAAAAGAAGAAAGAACATGCTTCAAAAATGAGGGACTCTGTGTTCGAAAACCCCAAAAGATTTTGGTCATATATAAAGAGAATTACAAAGACTAATCAACAACCAAATTTTCTGAGAGATGAACAAAATTTTGTCTCTGACCCTGTTGGTATGGCCAATATGTTAAATCGTTTCTTTCACTCTGTTCTCAATTTCGGCACTAATGAACCTCCTGATTTTTCTCCAATCAACATACCAGAAAAGCAGCTTAGTAATATTCAGTTAACAGTTTACGAAGTGTCTGAGGTGCTCCATAGCTTGGACGCAAACAAAGCTAGCGGTCCAGATAATTTGCCAAATAGAATTCTGTTAAACGTTGCTGATGAAATTGCACCTTCAATTTGCCGTCTTTTCAATCTTTCACTATCAGAAGGCATAATGCCTAAACGATGGAAACTTGCTAACATTACTGCCATCTTTAAAAAGAATGATCCGACAATTCCATCGAACTATAGACCTATCTCTTTACTCGATACGTTATCGAAAGTTTTAGAGCGGTGTGTTTACAATCACTGTTATGAACATCTACACTCTATGTTCCATTATCTCTAACATGGTTTCCTGAGAGGGCGGTCCACGAATACGCAGTTGTTGGTAGTATACCATCAAATTCTGGAATGTATTGCTAGTGGTCAAGAAGTAGATGCAATTTACCTGGACTTTAGCAAAGCGTTCGATAAGGTACCACACAATCTGCTTTTATTAAAACTTAAATCGTATGGTATTTCTGATCCTACCCTCTCATGGTTTGGCAGTTACTTATCGGAAAGACATCAACGAGTGGTTATCAACGGACATTCTTCTGACTGGCTCCCTGTTACATCGGGCGTCCCGCAGGGGTCTATCCTTGGGCCGCTTCTTTTCTTAATATACATTAACGATCTACCCACCTATTTAGAAAACAATTCATCAATTGCTCTTTATGCGGACGACTCCAAACTTTTCCGCCCTATCTATTTGCCTAACGACAGTGTTTCCCTTCAGAAAGATCTCGACAGCCTCAGTCACTGGGGCGAAAACTGGGCAATGGCATTCAATGTTAGTAAATGTAAAGCAGTACATTTTTCAAGGAAGAAATTACCTACAGAACATCACTTAACGGGTAAAAACTACTATCTGGCAGGTAACCAATTAGAAAATGTTGCTAACATACTGGACCTTGGAATTACTATCACCAACAACCTTTCATGGTCTAAACACATCGAAGAGATTGTCTCTAAAGCTAACAGAACCCTTGGTCTTGTTAAAAGATTGTGTGGGGATATCAAGGACACAAACACCCGGAAGCTTCTGTATTGTACTGTTGTTAGACCAAAGCTTGAGTATTGTAGTAGTCTTTGGTCTCCTTACACAGGTAAACATCGTTTACTTATCGAAAATGTTCAGCGAAGAGCTACGCGGTTTATTCTTAATTACCCAAAAGATATGTCATATCCGTTGAGGCTGCAGAAACTACGCCTTTTTCCACTGGAATTCAGAAGAGAGATTTCGGATTTAACTTTATTGTTTAAGTCCAGAAATGGGCTAATAACTATGGACGTGAATAAATACCTGAACACTTACGTTTATTGCTATCGGACACGTAATTACGACCCAAATAACTACAACTTGATTATTAAGCACAAACAAGACTATTATAGAAAGTCGTTTTTCATTAGGGCTACAGAACTCTGGAATACGTTACCTTCTAATTTAAAATCTTGTAATTCAATTACTTTATTTAAGACTAAAATCACTAACCTATACTTCGATAAATTAGCTACGTATTGCTTACCTGCGTGAATATTTCTTAGTGTATTGTATTGATGTATAGGGGTAGGATGGCAACTGGGACATTAGTCCTGTATCTAACTCCTGCCAGTCGTCTGTTTAGTAAACTTGTAACTTGTTATATATGTATGTTATTGTAATTTACTGGCGAATTAATTAAACTAAACTAAACTAAACCGGCAGTTACTCTTCAAATCTTGGAATTTACTCTTCAAACTTAGAATGTTTTCTTCAAAACTTAGAATTTACTCTTCAAAATATCGAATTTACTCTTCAAAACTTGGAATTTACTCTTCAAAATATCGAATTTACTCTTCAAATCTTGGAATTTACTCTTCAAACTTAGAATTTTCTCTTCAAATATTAGAATTTACTCTTCGAAACATAGAATTTACTCTTCAAAACTTAGAATTTACTCTTCAAAATATCGGATTTACTCTTCCAATTTTGGAATTTACTGTTCAAACTTAGAATTTTCTCTTCAAATATTAGAATTTACTCTTCAAAGATATAATTTAGTCTTCAAAACTTAGAATTTACTCTTCAAAATATCGAATTAACTCTTCAAATCTGGTAATTTACTCTTCAAAACTTAGAATTTACTCTTCAAAATATCGAATTTACTCTTCAAATCTTGGTATTTAATTACTCTTCAACTTAGAATTTTCTCTTCAAAACTTAGAATTTACTCTTCAAAATATCGAAATTTACTCTTCAAAACTTGGAATTTACCCTTCAAACTTAGAATTTTCTCTTCAAATATTAGAATTTACTCTTCGAAACATATAATTTTCTCTTCAAAACTTAGAATTTACTCTTCAAAATATCGAATTTACTCTTCAAATCTTGGAATTTACTCTTCAAACTTAGAATTTTCTCTTCAAATATTAGAATTTACTCTTCGAAACATAGAATTTACTCTTCAAAACTTACAATTTACTCTTCAAAATATCGAATTTACACTTCAAATCTTAGAATTTACTCTTCAAACTTAGAATTTTTTCTTCAAAATTTAGAATTTCCTCTTCAAAATATCGAATTTGCTCTTCAAAACTTGGAATTTACTCTTCAAAATATCGAATTTACTCTTCAAATCTTGGAATTTACTCTTCAAACTTAGAATTTTCTCTTCAAATATTAGAATTTACTCTTCGAAACATAGAATTTACTCTTCAAAACTTAGAATTTACTCTTCAAAATATCGAATTTACTCTTCGAATCTTGGGATTTACTCTTCAAACTTAGAATTTTCTCTTCAAAACTTAGAATTTACTCTTCAAAATATCGAATTTACTCTTCAAAACTTGGAATTTACTCTTCAAAATATCGAATTTACTCTTCAAATCTTGGAATTTGCTCTTCAAACTCAGAATTTTCACTTCAAATATTAGAATTTACTCTTCGAAACATAGAATTTACTCTTCAAAACTTAGAATTTACTCTTCAAAATATCGAATTTACTCTTCAAATCTTGGAATTTACTCTTCAAACTTAGATTTTCTCTTCAAATATTAGAATTTACTCTTCGAAACATAGTAATTTACTCTTCAAAACTTAGAATTTACTCTTCAAAATATCGAATTTACTCTTCAAATCTTGGAATTTACTCTTCAAACTTAGAATTTTCTCTTCAAATATTAGAATTTACTCTTCGAAACATATAATTTACTCTTCAAAACTTAGAATTTAATCTTCAAAATATCGAATTAACTCTTCAAATCTTGAAATTTACTCTTCAAACTTAGAATTTTCTCTTCAAATATAAGAATTTACTCTTCGAAACATAGAATTTTCTCTTCAAGACTTAGAATTTACTCTTCAAAATATCGAATTTACTCTTCAAATCTTGGAATTTACTCTTCAAACTTAGAATTTTCTCTTCAAATATTAGAATTTACTCTTCGAAACATAGAATTTACTCTTCAAAACTTAGAATTTACTCTTCAAAATATCGAATTTACTCTTCAAAACTTAGAATTTACTCTTCAAAATATCGAATTTACTCTTCAAATCTTGGAATTTACTCTTCAAACTTAGAATTTTCTCTTCAAAACTTAGAATTTACTCTTCAAAATATCGAGTTTACTCTCCAAACTTGGAATTTACTCTTCAAACTTAGAATTTTCTCTTCAAATATTAGAATTTACTCTTCAAAACATATAATTTACTCTTCAAAACTTAGAATTTACTCTTCAAAATATCGAGTTTACTCTCCAAACTTGGAATTTGCTCTTCAAACTTAGAATTTTCTCTTCAAATATTAGAATTTACTCTTCGAAACATAGAATTTACTCTTCAAAACTTAGAATTTACTCTTCAAAATATCGAATTTACTCTTCAAAACTTGGAATTTACACTTCAAACTTAGAATTTTCTCTTCAAATATTAGAATTTACTCATCGAAACATAGAATTTTCTCTTCAAAACTTAGAATTTACTCTTCAAAATATCGAATTTACTCTTCAAAACTTGGAATTTACTCTTCAAAACTT